TATAACTACGCGTTTCTAATTATCTCACAGCTGGATATAGACTATGGATTGACATTTAACACGCTGCTGGCATACGAAGACAGGTCGGTTTACGCTGAACGAACCACAGTACGATACGATGTATGTATAGTTAAAAACGTGCCATTGCTTGCTGATAATTTTATATAGCTTGTCTATTTGTGATACTGGTACCACGACTTCGTTGAAATTTCGGTAAGCGTTAGAAGGTAGTGATAATTATGTAGCTCTACTGACGCGTCAGAGGTTCGAAGATGATTTTTTTCTAATTAATAAAAACGACCGTGTTCAAGACGCGTACTACTCCAAATGAGTCGGCGATGCGCCGCTTCTATGGGAACAGTGTCAATTAACGCTATCAGATACAAAGCAACGATTAGAGTTCTAATGGTGATCAAAGAAGACCTTAACTCAATTAGATCGAGAGGGCGTAGGTTGTGAGTATCGACTACCTTCCAACGTTTACATTGCTTGTCCTACGACTCGGTTTATTTGCAATCAGTCACGCGGTATTTAACATCGTTTCTATGCCTAACTACGGTCCACTGTGGCGTATGTAGTTGCAGGCAACAGAAAATCAGGCCGTCGCCACACAACGCCATTGTCATGATTCGTATTATCTAAGAACAATGGTAGTAATTATTATAGTTATAATAAGAATTCTAACAGACGTAAGATGAGGTACGGCTTGCAACCTGCTAGTTCACGCTAAAATACCGCGAATTAAAATGGACCTTATACTATAAATTGTTGAACTGAATTGAAAGGTCCGAAATTATCGGTTCCTGTTACGCTGCGTCATTGGCTGCTTGGTCTGCTGCTTCGACAAATGTTCCGAAAAGGACTAACTGGATGAAGAATGGGTGAAGTTCTGCCGGTCTTCCGAATATTTCAAGCGAGATTTCCGTACAACAACGCTGGAAGGTTCAACGCAACGAAAAATTTTAAATGAATGAAACACAAATCGATTCCTTTCTACAGCAAAGATCAGCGGTTTTCTAAAAAGGGGGGAATATCTTAAGCACTGCATGCAGGAACTACGCTCCAGGATGCCAATGGCACACCTTCAATACACGACGCACGTTATTATCGAGTTGTATGTACGGGGTTAAACCAGTTCTGACCGCTGAGGCCAAACTGACAAAAGAAATAGGCTAGCTGAAAAATTCTTATCACTTTTATGGTATTTTTTAAAATCGAGCTTCAATCCAACCTGTCGCTAGCTGATACAGCCATTGTTGCTCGGCTGACACTCAGCGTTCTCAATAGTTTTTCCTTCGTTTTTGCCGCCAACGCGAAATCCTGCGTTCACGCTACAGCAAATTAGCCCAGCGGCATACGACGTCGTTTATCTTATATATATATATATATATATATATATATATAGAGGTAAATAACATTCATATATATTGTGTGAATATATAGTTTGTACAGATATAAAGTGGAGACGCTCAGACTGTGAAAATACTTTCACCCCATCCTGTATGAAGCTCGTATATGCTAATATCTATATTATGCGAACATATGGGTGATGACGAGAACCATGTGGCCAAATCCATTTCTGTGAAATAGTAAGCTCTGCAAACGCAAATCCATCAACTGGGGCTACTAGCTTTAACGGCACTCGTGGTGGGAAATCACAAGCTTTATCACTGCTTCAGACCGTCGTACTGCAAATCGTTCTCTCCCTATAAGCTAGCATCTCGAACTTCCTACCCACTTTACGGCCTGGGGTACGGTTCTATTTGCCAGTTCAGGTCCCGTTTTTAGGACCGGTGCTCGGCGGCACACAAATACGCCGCCGAGCACCGGCGTCGCAATCTCTTCGATCCTTAAGATGGAAGTCCCTACAATTCGTTTGCCTTTTTGGCTTTCCGGTTCCTCGTTTACTTCCTTTTTTCTTTTGGCTGTTCAACGATGAATTCTATTTATGCAAATTCAGCGACCACTGAAATCGCGGCAGAACTGCTCACGGCAACGGTTGAACATTTCGATTCGATCGAAAGCCTTTGTAAAGCCTTGTAAAAGAACCAGATGCGCCATCGCGTAATTTCACAGGACCCCACGGTCGTGCTCGCTGTCCGTTTCTAAGCCAACCCTTATAGGCGTCATTGAAGTACCGGAACCGACGGCTCGCAAAAGGCGGGTCCGAAGCCCAGTCTCTCGAACGCAGCAAAAATAGATATCAATAACAGGAACGGCGATTTGGTCCCTAAAAGGCAACGTCTATCTATGGCAGATAGACGAAAGGGAATAGACGAATCTGGCGGGCCGAATTGATGAATTTGAGCTCGAGATTTACGTTGAGTTCCAGCTGATCGCAACTGATGCGTACGCCGGGACTGAACGTTCTGATGATATTGTACAGTAAACCGGTCAAGGATTCATAGAATAATTGAGGGTTCCAAACGTCACACAGGACCGCTGCTATGCATATAACGAATATAAGGTAACATATATATAAAGTTTGTATTATCATCTAATATAACTACTTGAAATATATATATATATATATGTATATATATATATAGGCAGGCTACTACCTTTACGCGACCCTCTCGCGATACTATTTCTTTTCTAATAAGCATGGTGCGTTAGTTAAAGAACAGTATCCTACGAAAGCATGTTCAAGTTTTTCTGTTAAGTTAGTTAGATGAAGCTGACTAAAACCTAAGGCCTGCACAGGACGTGAGCTTTCAAGCATTTGGGTTAGGTTAGTTGAAATGCTGCTTTTCGTCAACGTAGCTTTTTGGGTTGCCATCATCAGACATTTAAGTCACTACAGATAACATATTCGCCGCTAACTGCCCTCGTCTATTGTTTTGCCCATCTCTAGTAGCAAGCCCTGCTGCGTCGTAACGCATATTATTGTCATTATTATTACAACTATTTATTATTACCTAGAGGACAGGCTATCCTTTCTATTGCCGTGGTTATGCGGCTGTAATTTCAATTTTACGACGCATCCCGAGCTCTCGCTATCAGCCGCCTACCGTCAGCAAGTCGAGCTAGCGTCATAGCATTCACCGGTGCGTCGTTAACGTCCGAACATATCCCGGAGGCGTATCCCGGACCAGCCAGATCCCGGCTTTGTACCGCGTACCATGCTGTGCGATAAACGATGCGTTACTAAGCCATTCGGCAGACAACTCCAAGGCTTTAAAAGGACAGTGCTGCTAACAAACAGGCACAAGATCACTTCAGCGATTGTGAAAACCTTGAACGTCGCCGGCGGCAGAAGCAGCAGTAAATGGCGTTGTTCGCGCTCACACTTTTATCTGTAGCTCCGTCGGATGCAACAGGTCCGTCCTTGTGTCTTGGAGTAGAGGTGGCCCTATAAATCTGCCGGAACCCGAACACTTTTCGAGTAGCAACGAAACTTGCGAGGCGAGCGGACCTTGTCGAACTGCTCGGTCTAGCCACGATATCTATTTTTTTACCTCGTAAAAGTGTGTCCAGTAGAAAGAGCTAAAACGACAGAACTACTACAGAGTAAGAAGAGCTGACCAAGAGGAGTCACCCAGACATCTGAAGTGCATACGGCTATAGGAAACCGTAAAATTATCGCGATGAAAAGTGGTTGCGAGCTCGTAGGGCGCGTTTGTCGCACTACCGGATGAACTGACGCGACACTCGGACATGTCGCAATGCTGTCGAACAGCGACGATGCTAAAATTAAAGCCAACCGGGCTCGACCGCTAAATGGTTGATGTAGCTGATAATCTAATTTGCTTTTTTCATTTATTTCAATTTGCTATTACTATGTCGGAGCAAGCGTTAGCCACTGACGCCGACTTGGCCATAAATACGAGCTGCAACGACTACTCACAACGGTGATTTCCACGAAAACGACGCAATTTTGAACGGGACGAGGTTTATTGAACGGTAGTCACGTAAGCACACAGTATGCTTACGCATTTTGACGGATGATTCAGCCATCCATCCATCCATCTCTACAAATGAATTGATGAATCACCTGTTTCCAGACAGGCAAGCCCCAAACGATAGCAGAAAGACAACGCAGACGCATGGGTGAGCTGAGATCGTAGGTGAACTAAGAGAACGGACGAAAATAGAGGGTTTTGTAGGGTGATACGCACTGCAGGAATTAGCATATTTTCTAGTATTACATTTTGGGCATGTGCACGTTAGTGGGCACGAAAAACTAAAAAAAATCAGGCAAACACAAGGCAGAGAAAGCAGAATCTGATAAAAAACAAAACGAAATTATGAAGAGAATTACCTTTCTAGGCATTTAAATTTTTTTAGGCCTACTTTAGGCCTGAGGCATCGCACAACTTTCAGCCTGGAAGTCTCTTTGGATACTGCCACAAAAGCCACTGTATGTGGGCGCGCCGCCTTGTGGCCCCCAAAGGTGTGTCTTCTCAAATGCATTGTTGTGCATTGCGAGTATTTAGGTTGAATACGCTTGAAATGTCTGGTAAAACCAAAAGTCAGATATGGTTCTATGGTGTTATAGACGCTGTATTGTTTGTCCTACTGTGTCTGAGGATGAGGAAGGAAAACGATTTGGATAGTGCGTTCTGCGGGAAGTCGGATTCTATTACGAATCACTTGATTCGTTCGTTTGTCTGTATTTAGTCAAAAAACAGGTTACGGGTCTATACTAAAGATCATACGGTTATTAAGTTAGTAAAAGGGAACTTCAATGAACGAGAACTGAATTACACACAGCGAGTGGATACTAAATTCATGGAAGTTCCAATAGTATTGGACACCAGACAGTGATGCTGATGCGGTCTTCTAGATACTCAATGAAGCGAAATGATGGCCCTCAATACATAAGCTACCGCCTTATTTCTGAATCCTTTCTTATTTCGTACCTTTTGTAGTATTCGATTTTTGTTCTTCGTATCATACAACGTGTTAGATAAAAAGAAACTACTACAATTATGAGTTATTTCCCTTATTAGCATCGTTTCATCATTTATTTCTTTGAAACGACTCATCAGGATGCATCTTGTTCCATTGAAACTATTAATAATTACTGGAGAAAACCAGTTCGTACAGTTACTTCAGAGATTCATTGTCTCGCGTTTTGTTGGCCTTCTTTAAAATGTCGTGGACGCGCCGAGTCGATTCTTCTCTACAGTTGCGACGGCAAACACGGCGTTTGAGGAGCGTGCAGACAGCGTACTTCAAGGCCATCTTGACGCTACCTCAAAACGCGTCCTCTCAGAAAATCGACTTCGATTTACACCGCTGCCGAAGGCTGTACGGATGTATATATGGGGCGAGTGTGTGGGTAGTTTTGTTGGCACAGACAATAGTAGGCATCTGTATAGGCTATGTATAGGCCAAATACGTAAGAATTTTACCCAGAACACGAAATGAAGGTGAAGCACAACATTCTGTCGACAAGGATAGCTCCGTAGGCGTTTCTGGTTTTTCTGTTTTGTTTGGTACTATCGTACGCCATGCAAGACGCTTTCTTCCTGTAAAAAAAAAAAACCGAATCTGATCATCTATTCTTAACGCATGGGGGTCGCGCACAAACCCGTGAAAATAATTGTTTCTTAGTGAAAAACGCCCGTACCCTGTTTTGGTGTTATATACGGTTGTAGAAATAGAATTCCTTCCTTATCCTAGGTAAATTCTCACTTGACATTTCTAGATCAGACAAAATGAGGTAAAGAAATAAGCGATTAACGGATTAGCGTAAAAAACCCATTTATCACCATTTAGAATGACCTTGTGTCAGATATTTACGCAATGAACCTCACTTTTAGTACGAGGGTTCTTTTGGGGTTTACTAACTGAGACGACGAATTCGCATTTATAGAAAATATCATGCGACAAGAGTGAATACATACAAACAATATGAAACTTTTTGAAATGTTTATGCCAGGTTTTGTTAATAAAGGTATTCACACAATGTTCCGTTTCCAGTCGAACGAATTTCTCAGTCTTACTTTTTGCTCTTTAGTATGTAATGGATACGAATTTCATAATAGAAAAATTATGAATGTAAATAGAAGTTTCGAATGTTACAACCGATTGCACCGCTGCTGGCTAAGCACTGCTACTTTAGGCAGGTACAGCCCTTTTTCAAATGAAATGAAGCTCACTTACGCCAGGATTCAAGCCAAAGCGATCTTCTAGCATTTTTAAGTTCACAGGCTGTCACTGTACCATCACGAGGGCCTTGTGGGTTAAAATCGTATAGCAGGCCGAATCAATCGATAGATTACGTGTAGACATTTTCGTCAACGTCACAGTTACAGGAGAACCTTACGAGTGTTCACCCATTTATAAGTACTCGTCTGGGTGTATAACATATATGTTTATTCACTACAAGAATTATCCAAATCGGCGCAACGCCATACCCCACAGTTTATTATTTGTCGCTATTACTTAATTTTCGGAACGCAGCCAGCATTCGATGGGAGCACACTGTTTGTCAGTGGTGTATGAAAATCGCATTTTGCTTCGTCACTAAACTCTGAACTATTCAATCGTTGATATCTGAAGTCTAATTTTTCTTGAAGGATCGAAAGGTACTTTTTCAGATCGGTTCATTATGCAATCGCCGCTTCATGGGGACCTGTCCGTCTGTTGTCGTCGGTCAAATGATTTTGTAGTACTGGCAAAGGCTGTGGGTTCTGGGACCCCCCAGGTTGTGTTTGTAGCTCTGATATCTAGCGGTTGTCATCGCCGCCACTTCATTTCTCCTTTAGGCGCTTGAAGACAGACGATTCGTGCACCTCTAGAGCGAACCGCGGATCGTTAATAGACGATCCTCGACAAGGAGCCAAGCCTGTGCGTAAATGACTTGATGGGTTTAAAAATGTATGCTTCGATCATGTACAGCGACCCAAGATCACAAGGTGTATATGCACATCCGATGACGCATCAACACTATAATTTGATCGGCGTCATCGGGCGTCGTTTGTAGAAAAAAGCTGTTGCCAGAGCGCACTCAATAGCAAAGGGGACTAGAGTCAACACAAGCAATCTGTTTACGCAGTTCAACTGGTGCAGTGATCAGAAGGTTGAAGCGGACACGACATGGACGTACCAAACGCTTCATGTTATACGATTCATGTGTGGGGCGCACATTAGTGCATCAGTTGGGATAGAGCTGATCAGCGTTGGGTGCTAGCAGCCAGTTGTTCGGCCCGTTCTTGATCTTCGCCAGCGGCTAAAAACAACGAGCAGGAAGTTCCATTATTGTTCATTGAAAAGACAGAGACTGATCAGTACGATGAGTGATAACTAAAAGGATATTCTGGCATATATGCCTGCCTTATATGACTGAAACAGTTACCTAAAGTTGGCATATTTTATAGGCGTTTTAACAATAAGGGTCACTTATTAATTAAATAAAGGAAAGGTTTCTATTTATAAGTTGGAAAAACTATATAGCAAAAGGTGATGTATGCGATACTACTAAGTCGATTTCAAAGTTCAAAAGGTAGACGTCGCTTTTGGTAAACTGATATATATATATATATATATATATATATACGAGCGTTTCGCGTGACTTCGCGTGTGTATTTTCAGAAGTCGCCCTATACAGTTATATAGACGCTCCTGTCGTCCCATTTTTTTTCGAACTACATACTATAGTCTGACAAGACAGGACGGGAGTGCTGTTATCAATTTGCTGTGTCATGCTGTTGCAGGACGCAGCAAATTGTTTCATGTCGATTCGCTCGTACTTTTCATGAACATCTGCGGGATGAACATTACGGATCAGAACCTTTCCAATGCTATAGCCACCGCAGAGCGTCGCCTCCTTTCGGCATCACGAAATCAACAGTAACTGATACCAGTGTCAATTTAAGGAGATTCTCCACGCTTGTCAGCTGTTCATAACAGCTAAGACAACATACACAAGTGGTACATACTCATACGCATTGATGTTCGGCACCCAATGTGTGCCTGTATCTAGATTTCATTTGCCTTTTTCCCCATTTACTGGGCCGGATTCGTTCGTGTGTGTTCGCTGTTTGTCGCTTACCGCTCAGCGGTCAGCGCTCGAGTGTAAATGAGATTCGCGGCTTCAAAAATACCGCCACAAGCATCAGCTCCAAATCGAACAACAGCAGCGCCCCAGAGTCGAATCAGGGTTCAGCTATTACCATGAATTTAATCTCACTGAACCCAACTACAATAGTTGTGAATGTCTCGCCAACGGAGCCGTCTGCGCAAGGGGCCATGCTGATCCATCAGACCGGCGATGATCGCACCACGCAACGACTCAGCAATTTTTTTTCCTCTCTCTTGTAATAAACCTCTTCACCAGCAGGTAACAATTTTGAGCTATATGTAACCGGTATCCATTACATGATTATATTGCTACGAACGTACGGCTCACACAACGGAAGAACAAATAAAGTACGAAACTTGACAGGATTACCCACATAAAAAAAACTTGGCAAAATTTCACTTAACTGTATCGTAGCAGCTCAAGGATCCCTAATGATAGTGACTGGGACGGCAATACTGACATCGTAAACATTGGAGTTTGTAGTAATTTCTACAATTATATTGTGACTTTAAATGTTTACATGTAGTTCGTTGGGTACAACGAAGTATACATTATACCTGAATACTTTCTTTTGTTAGATTTTTCATCATCCAAAGTTGTAGTCCTGATGTGTATCGATACTTCAGTTAATGAATATATCAAGTTATTCGGCCAAAGACACCAACGAGATCGGGGTTCTACCAGGAAAGCACGCAAACGAAATTAAAGAGCGAGGAAAAACGAGTACTCACTCGTCGTAGTCACCAACTCGTTGAGTGTCCGTCCGTCTCCGAATTTGCGCTCGGCCGTCGTTCTATTGATCTGGATGTTGGCGTTATCCGCTCATCGACGCTCGGGGAGAGTTCCAGTTTGTCTGTCCTCTTTACTAGGGACGGTACGATCAGTACGATCAGGGCGATCGTACCCGATCGGTTCGGATGTATCAAAGGCGCCTAACCTTAAATGACTCGCGTTGTACTAGTAAGTTGGCGGCCGTACCGGTCACCGAAGCTGTCACGACGATTACTAACGTAGCAGCATCCGACGGATTCATGGGTTACTTATTGGTGGTTTTGGCCTCTTTTCGATAAGCGTCTGAAGCGGACAACGAGGATAGAAGGTATGGTAAGTAAAAGAATAGTCCAATTTGAACGGTATCTTCGCAAAGAGAAGGAACTTAGGTCGATGTACTGTATATGTGCAGTTGCATAGGTGACAATGAAATTTTGAATGACAATGAAAGAGCGGTAGATTCCACTATTTGGCATCTCAATATTCTGAGTGGTTCATAGAGACGCCTTTTAAACTGTTAACTAAAGAGCATTATAACGAACAACGTTAGATAAACTAAAACCATTTGTGCAAGGGCTTTTATAACTGCCGCTTCGGAAGGTTAGGTTGATTTTGCTGTTTTGGCTGGCAAGGATTGGAACGAAATAGATATATCTGTCAATCAACCCGCTACCTAATTGCTAAGAAGAACAGCACTTTTTTAATTGTTTGCTTTTCAATCATCTTCGGCTAACTATTGCTTTAAAACACTAGTTTAGGTAAGCTAGGCTACCAGCGTGTATGCTTTCTGCCCAAACATAATTATGCAATTTAATTAAGTACCTAGTTAAAATGTAGCGCTCTCCTAAATGCATGGAGTCCAACGCAAATTCCATCAACAAAACTCTAAACGAGAAAGGATTTTGCCCGTGACCTCGCCTAATAGGATATTCCTAGGTTTTGTCTTTCGTAAATATGCTGGCAGCTACATTGAACAAACCTAGTAGACTTGCAGAGCTAGACCAGGTAATGAGGTTTCGAAAGGAAGTATGTTGCTCCAGTGTATATGTGTTTCTTCAAGATAGCGCACTTAGGATTCGCCTAGGCCGTGCCCTTAAAGCCTGAGAGAAAACACGATTTTTTTAATTTAATATAGAATACAAGAGATAGCATTCTTAGCGGAACCTGTACCGAATTTCAAAATTCAATGACATAGATCCTGAAGTACATACAGGAAGTTTCTTTCACAGCATTAACTGCAACGTACTTCCTATCGTTCTCTAAGATAGGTAATATCTATGTCGACGGGATGGCTCGGGCTGCCAAGCGTCCGGCTCAAGGGCATCCAGAGTCGATGTTTAAAATGTAAAAACCGATGCATATCTTGCGCAAGCAAAGAAAAGCTATTATTATTTTATTAACAGCGACGAGTTGAGATTTAGGTCATCTGCATTTCTATTAAGCTCACCATCTTGGTGAAAGAGATCGCTAAAAATTACTGAAAATCTATAATGGATGGGTATTATGATCATTTTTGGAAGCACGAATTATGCTGTTCCTGATCGTAAGCTAGCAAAAAAAAAAAGCTAGCAAAAATGGTCTCGTTCTCGTTGAGTATTGGTTCAGACGATCAGCTTCTCCCAGCGCCGTCGCCCGGCTTCAGACCACTAGAGAACGCCCCGCATATTTCTTTTCGTAGTTTGGTAGGTAAACATGTTACTGCTACGTCGTTACGGGACGGAGCTCACTTCAACATTTACACAAGTGTAATTTCTGCCACACGAGCGTACGTTGTGTTCTCACGCTTTTCATTAGAATGGTTATGTCTGTCATCCTTTCATTGATAAGATAGGAAGTGATTAACGTCACATTCTAAATATTGGTGCATGGACGTTGTCTATGGACGACCTTTGACGAGGTTTACTTTATTATTATCGACACGAACAGTTGAACAAGGACTGTAAAAAAAAAAAAAGTCAAACATAAGCATCAACTTTTCAGGCCTAAGTCCTAGGTTGAACGTATGCGCAGCCATATAATAATGCACAAATTCATGTGCTTTATTTGCCCATACAAATAGGCGCACTCTCGTCACTTTCCTTTTAATTCTGGACGCTCACAACTGATCATGGAATACAAAGTAGTCCTGAATGGTATACAAAGTAGTCCTTGATATTATTCGTATTCAAAGATAAAGCGTAAATAGATTTTACCATTAACTGGATTATGGATTATATGCGTCATTATCAATTTTACGTTTCGATTTTATTCGGCCAAATCAGAGCTCCGTCATATCTAGCCACTATCGTACAATGACAAATTCAGTTTAATAACTTTTTTATGCAGATGCGGCTGTGCTTCGTTATCTGTCTGCATGGTGCCGTGTCGTGTGCTTACTAGTGCATACGTTATTAAGCTCATGAACAAGTGACAGCAAAACCTACGACGAAATACAAAACAAGGGAGGTTTGCTCGCAAAACGCAGCATACGGATGTTCGACAGGAAACGTCTAAGGACCACTCCTTATGCTGGCCCATCTAACTGGTGGGAGGCGACGTTAGTTAAGCACAAAGAGCTGCCTGAGGACCACCTATTGACTAGCTAGCTTGGTAATGGTTGAACGTTCGTATTAAATCACAGAAAGGGCTTAGAAACTTGAAAACGGATTTGTCTGGTTGTCAGAACTTAACGTTTGCGTGTTTGTGATAGAATGGACATTCTGTATTGACGTGCGTGCGCTAATCAATCCTGCTTTGGTAGCTTCTCTGTGGTCGGACAAATTTCCCGCATCTGGCGTTGCGCTTATTGTTTATGGAAATACGGTACACGTAGTGATCCGTAATGCGTACGACCATTTAATCAACGGGCTATTAACTGTTTCTGTATCCCCGCAATTATGTTAGACGCTCGATTTGATTTCTGAAGGCGATGCTGAGACATCAATCGTTGACGTGATTGTCATTGTTATATTCGGTCCCTTGGACTTTATTAGACATGAATTTTATGTCTTATTATGGATTTTCTTGCAAGAGCGTTTGGGACTGCTTGAATTAAAATAGGCAGTGACCCATTTTTTTGACACAATGGTTTTTCGCTCAACAGCATCACCCGCTTCGTCTGCCCATTTTTCTTTACCTCACATAGGTTGTCTACGTACAAACGAAGCACGATCAATACGGCCCACTTTGCCTCTTGATTCAGATCAGTAGAATTCGCAGAAAGTCGCTTATTCTGAACTAACCAACAAACAATCATTTGTTTAAAGAGTGAAATGTGAACTGCTAAAGTTATATCGGTACTGAACCTTGAGCTCATTTATAGACGTTATCATTTTATATCTAAACAAGCTTCATCACTCCATTGCTCCAAGAACGTTTTGGGTAACGCCTTAACTAATCATATCTGTAAACGGTTGCCTATCAGTATGAAACGACGTATGTCTACGGCCCGTTTCGAACGGACACTGCCCGAAGTTAGTAAGTAAACAGTGTTAAGCCTCGTATCTCTGTTGCAAATCAAAGCCAAAACAAGTGTGCCCATTGTAGCTAGAAGCACGTACCCAAATCATACCCAATTCATAGATAGGGTAATTTCAAGTATTCATAACATTATTTCTGTTCATGACTTTCATCAGCTGTTGCTGTTACCGATGCTATCGGCTAGTTCCCGGTTGGATTTTCTACGTTACGATAGCGCATTGATGGGGTTCCTTCCCACAGATTGTATGACATCACAGTCATGCTCAATTTATCATAAAATGGGTACAAGCGTAAAAAAATCATTAATTTACGTCGACGTACTTCAACAAGTGTTTCTGTGAATCATCAACTGGTTGTCAACTATTCTACCTGCAGCGAGAGGCGGTCAGACAGTCGGATGTTTAGTCGACTCGAGCATTCGCTTTAATACCAGCCACCCAGACTACGTGGACTGAACAGAAAAACCCAGCGACAGGTTCTGTACACAGATGGTCAGACGCCGCAAACGTTGTAGTGACGAAATGGCATTCGCAGGAAAGCACCGAAAAAATAGGCGCAACAGAGGATTCATTGAAATAAACTCGATTATTTATTTGTATGTATGTGGTGAAAAAGACGATAAAAGTATTGTCAAAATACATCACATCGAAATAAACAGAAATAGGGGCACTATCTCAATGAACACGAAGCCATCCGCAAAGCTGTATCATAGCGCTGATCCACACGTTCCCGAACCGTGTCTTCCGGCCGGTGCCATGCTCTAAGCAGACGTTTTTGAGACGTGAATCTGGTGGGCGTAGAAACCCAACGTTATGAAAACCCACGGCATGAAACCGTACAGAGTGTCAAACAGCAAATCGATTCTGGATTATACCTGAGCGCTATATACATTTTCTTTAGCATCAAAATCGAGATACATCGTTGATCAGCACGATGGCGATGCTGCCGATGTTCAATATGGTGATATCCTGTATTCTATAGAGGGCTAGTAATCTTGTCGTTTGACTCACGGTTCAAGGGGGCATGTGACTGACCGCCGCGACGCTATCTGTAAGAACCTTATTACGGGTAAGCCGATTGATCAGACGTGGGCATCATCGGTTTCACTTGCTCATCTGCTTGATGTGTATAATCGGTTGGCTATTGTATTCTACGTAGGTGGACAGTTTCATTGATTATTCTAATTATCAATTTCAATACATTTTCCGTGGGGCATCGCCGAGGCTTTTAGGTTCCACTAGATCAGGTAAAACGGGTAGAGCGATTCAATACCGTTCCAATAAGACAGTCTGATTTGTTTGTGAATATGATAACGATATCAATTTATTGTTTGTACTATATTATTAAAGCGCATTATGCCTTCAGTATAAGTCTCTGTGGCTTCGATTTGTAACAACGGACACGTGTATCACTACCGCCTCGTACCTTCAAAGTATCAGAAATCGGTCGAGCAAAAAGATGAAAAAGAAGGAGAGGGACGACAGGACGAAAACGTCAATAAACTTTTGACTTTTTTTCTCGTTGCGACAATGTTAGTCGATAAGAATTTCCTGGGCCGCAACGCTGTTTGATGCGTACGATCATTGCAAAACCTCACAGTGAAGTGGCTGCGGCTAGTGGTCAGTCCATTTGTCGATTGCTTTTCGCTATTATCAGGTCAAGGCGTAGAATATGGTGGGATGATTTTATCATTATTACGTCTATGCGAAATGTATTGTTTTTTTTTTGTTAGTACCTATTTTTGAGGACCGTACGTAGATAAATACACGATTGTACTTTCCTAGAGCTAAGCAGTCTGTACGAGTGGTGTGCCGACATTATCATCAATATGGTAGTGTTTTCCAAAGGCTTTCCTGGAAACTGAATTTTCCATC